CGACCCCGAGGAGTGCCAAGTGCGGACCCACGAGAAAGAGCAGATCAAGAACCTCAACAACCAGTTCGCCTGCTTCATCGACAAGGTGAGCCCCCGCTTCCCTCCGCGCAGGCTGTCTGTCTCGTGCCTCCAGGCTCTGATGGATGGATTGTCTCCAGACAGACAGTGTCGGTAGCTACTGCTCCCCGCCCCCCCCGTAAACATTTCTGATAGACCGTGGGGGTCCTGACCTGGAGACTGTTTGGATTTAAGCCTTGCCCCAAGGGAACCGCACCGGTGTTTTACCTTTCGATGCTCACCAGTCTGCTGAATAGCTAAGTCAGGAGCGGCTCCAGGGATACAGTAAACCAAAACTTGTGGGAGAAGGGATGGAGACGCAGAAATGAAAAAAGGCAAAATAGGAAGTTTTATTACAAACGTATAATCTGACATTGCAATCACGCCTCTACAATCTCCAAAGGACTTTTTGCATTTTTAAAATAGCCTACGTGCTTCATCGAGGAGATGTAGGAAGACAGATGTTTAGCTAAAGTGAGATGAACGATTTGAACTTCTCTGTCCCTCCACTCTGTGAATGAGATGATTTGGTGATTTCCTAAACCGATGCAATTTATCACTGTGTTCTTAGCTAAGCCTAAGGGTTTTCATTACTCTTGAGAGATGCGTTAGAGGAAATGATTTTTCAAACAGCAGAGAAACCTTTGCTCTGTCTGATCTTGATTTTCCTTGTGACTTGTTCTGCAGCTGGAAAAACCAAACCCACGTAAGAGGAGCAACTCTGCTTCCTCCCATTTGAAAAATGACTTATTCATGATGCATAAAGGTTCTCAAGTCCTAGAGAACCCTTTAATCTAGAAGTGAAAGGCATGATAAATATCCGTGGTTAGAGTTTAAATCAGATACATCCAAATGAGATCCTGGATGGAGCTTTTAGGGCTGCTAAAGAGTCATTACTGTATTCAGCCCATCGGGGGAGGCAGTGGATCCTCCATCAGCCAGTTATAGGAAAGAGGTGGTGTTGGGTTGAACCGAGCTTTGGTCAAACAGATGATTGGCCTCAGCACAGAGCAAACGCACCAGCGTTGCTTGGTCTGCCATATGAGTCCTGGGTGGGACCAGGTTTAGCTCAGAGAAGATGCTGGTCTCACTCAGGCTGCTGAGAAATCAGCACTTCACCCTTTGTGTTTCTGACTCTATTTTTACTTTTTCCTTTTGGAAGTGGAGACCCAAAGCGCCTTTGCCTGAAACAGGACGGGGTTGCATGACTCTCACATCTCTTGCTTCCCCAGGTCCGGCTGCTGGAGCAGCAGAACAAGGTGCTGACCACCAAGTGGGAGCTGCTGCAGCAGTATGTCCTCCCAGCCTCCAGGAGAAACCTGGAGCCCGTTTTCGAGAACTTCATCTGCAACCTGAGGAAGCAACTGGAGTGTGTGCTGGGGGAGCGAGAGAGGCTGGAAAACGAGGAGCGGTGCCTCAGGGACCTGGTTCAAGAGTACAAGTGCAAGTAAGTAGCACACAGGGAGAAGCTGCAGACCTGGGTGTTTGCTGGCCTGAGTGGCATTTCTGAGCGTGAAGCCAACGCAATCGCATTGGATGGGTCCAAAAACTGGGGCGCAGGGAGGGAAGCAGGGCAGGGCACACCAGTACCGGGCTGGTTTCCTGTACTGGGATTCCACTGCTGTGCCTCAGATGCTGGTGATGGACTGAGAGAGCTTTTCTGCCACAGTGTTTCCTTAGGGAAAGGGACAGGGAACCACTTTTCTTCTCCCTAATGCTCCTGCACACCTCCGTGGTTTGCCATATCAAATCCCCCAGATCACCTGTGCCTGTGGCTCCCCCAAATTTGTCCCCAGTGCCATCCGTTCCCACAAAACCCTCAGCCTGTTTGTCTCCACCCCATGCCTTATCCACCTTATCTCCACTGGGGTTCATTCTCTCTTCCCAGAGGGAATGTGGGAATTGGTTTTTTTAATTTAAGCTGCAGATATTCCCTAACGGCTCCCCGTGTGCTCTGCTAAGCCACAAACCAGGACACTTCGTGGCTGGTGGTATAGAGCACAGGATAAAAGAGTAATCGTTTCTCCAGAGACCTTACAGTCAAGCATCTCAGATGTTTTTCCTTGCTGAGCCAGCACCAAAGGAGGTCAGACTCATAGAATCATAGAACTGTCTTGTGAAAGTTCTTCTAGGTCCCAATTACTTGGTCATTATGCCCTGGCTTTCCTTCCCATTGCACCTGGGAGTTTCAAAGGTTGCTCAAGCTCCTGACCTCCCTTGAGGCATTTTGGCCACAGTCTCCCCATGAACACTCAGGGCAGCGTCCTGGATGCTTCACAAAAACATCACACGAAGCAGCAGGGCTAGAAGACGCAGTCCAAGCCTTCAGCTGAGGTACACGGTTCTGGGTTTCTAGTGGTTTGGCCTGATTTACTGCCACCTCACTCCAGCCACTGATACTGCCAGCGTGGACTATTTAGAACTGCTGAACAAAGCCCAGTAGGGAGGAAAGAAAGAGCAACAAAGCAAAAATCAAAAAGGAGGGACAAAGCGAATAGGGAGAGGCTCTGGTTTTAATCACACTTCCCATGTTCTGCATCGGCTGCTTGCGTGGTGGGGATGGGACCCCCTGGGGCTCTTCATCCCACCCCTCTCCTTTCCTCCTGCAGATATGAAGATGAGATCAACAAGCGCACGGCTGCAGAGAATGAGTTTGTGGTGCTCAAGAAGGTGAGTCGTGCTAGGGACAACGCTGGTGAGACCAGCTGAGCGTGGCAGACGCGTGGGCAAAACCTCGGTGTGGGGTCAGGGAGAGAAACGGGGAGTCCGGGCACCGTGGCATTGCCTGAGTCCTCACTGGGTAGCCCCAAAATAGAGGCAACTCAATGAATTTGGAGAACCCCTATCAGGTTGTAAGCACATAGAACACAAACCCAGAGAGTCTTAAGGGCTGGAAATAGTGAGGTTTCCTCCAAACCTAACAGAAAACATGGGCTTTGCCACAGCCTTTGTTTCTTCACCTCTTTTCACCGAACACGTGGTGTCTCTCCAGGATGTGGACTGTCTCTACCTGACCAAGGAGGAGCTGGAGGTGAGAGTGGGCCTCCTGCGGCAGCAGCTCGAGTTCCTGAAGTGCATCTACGCTGAGGTAAGAGCTCCCAGGTCCCTGCCTGCTGCCCTGGGGATGATGCATCAGCTACTGCCCCTTAAACAAAAACTTAAAACCAAAAAAACCACCCCAAACTAAATGCAGGGAAAGGTGTCTTTTCTGAAAATCCTGAAACTGCATCCCAAAACTCTGTATCTCTTTATATGTATTTGATAACAATGCTATTGCACACACTTTGGGAAGGCAAAGGGCGTTCTTGGTTGTCTCCTATATTGCTGGATGGAAAGGGAGGGAACTTTTGCAAGAAAAAGACCCTCAGATTCGAATCCAAACCATCCCTGGGAACCTCCGAAACATCTCACTCGTCAAACTCCAAATATTTTTAGCACTTCAATTTTTAAAGCTACGTTAGCCAAAATATTTTGATGAAAGCAGCTTCTGTCTAAAACGTAGCAAGTTCTTAACAAAACAGACAGGGGACACTTCGTATTTTCTAGCCAAGCACCCCCCAGCAGTCTGCAGGCAACGGGGCCCAGAGCACCCACCCCTGAGGGGTTCACAGCCCAGAAAACTGCTGATGCAGCCAGAAACGCCGAGTTGCAACGGAGCGAGTTGCTCCACCAGGACTCCCCACCCTACCTTAGGGAATCGCACGCAGCAATCCCACATTGTGCCATCAAAACAGGTCCCAGCTGCCAGCTCTTGCTGGAAAGCAGTCATCCTCCTGGAGAACCCCATGCTCTAGCTGGGTGTTAATGGGACAACCTCCCCCAACCCTCCACCTTCTCACCAGACCCCCCTTTTCCAGAGGTACCTGCATGCCTGGCTTGGGCTGGTTGAGGGAAGGGGACTGACACGTGATGGCTCTTGCAGGAGAGAGCTCAGCTGGATTGCCAGCTGTGTGACACCTCTGTCATCGTGCAAATGGACAACAGCCGGGACCTGGACATGGAGGGCATCATCAAAAGTGTTGAGTGCTGCTACGAAGAGATTGCCCAGAAGAGCAAGGCTGAAGTGGAGGCTTTCTACCAAACAAGAGTGAGTATTCACACCACCAGCACATATAACAACGAAAATCCTTGGCCAACAAAACTCTGAGGACCATTTCTGTCCTCCACGGTGCGACTTAAACCCACCCCGCAGTGTGCATGCACTGTAGTTTGCTAAAGAAAGTTATGCCAACCCAGCCCCCTCCCAACTTAATGCTGTGGTTTGAGACTTTTCTGTAAAAACAGCGCGTAGCAGATCACAGTGTTGCTTCAGAGAGGTCTCCTCTGCGTGCACGCATCAGGAACACCATCCCCTTCCCAAAGGGCAAGTGCTCAGCACCTACCCAGGACTGTCGCCTTGTCTGGGCTGAGGTCATGTCTGGGTGCTTCCCCGGGAGCACCAACGTCAGTGCAGCTCCGGAGAGCTGCCACCTTCCCTGGAAGGGGCAATTCGGGCGCATTAACATCACCCTCTTCCTGTGCAATAGCTGGAGGAGCTCCACAGCAGCAGGGGCAAGTTCTGCGACGACCTGAGAAACAACCAGAGCGAGATAGCCGAGCTGAACCGGATGATCCAGAAGCTGCAGTGTGAGTCGGATAACGTGAAGAAACAGGTAGGAAGAAGGGCTGAACGCTGCACGGGCAGTGGGGGGTGCAACTTCTCCAGCAAAGGGCTTCATCCTCACCAGCTTCCACCATGCTGAACTGCAAAGAACCCCCCCAACCCAGCTTAAGCCTATATTTGTAGCTTCTCATCCGCTGTCGATACACAAAGAAGCAGATTTATTTCCCTCTTAGCAAAAAAGCAGAAGCCAGTTGGTTTGGCTACAACAAAAAAAGAGTGTTTGCTGTACGCTTCCTACTGGGGTGCAGCCAACAGGTCCCCTCCTCTTCCTCACAAATAGCTTGGCCACCACATGTGTCCAGCCTAAATCTAGGCTCTCTGGCAGTTCCTAGCTGAGAAACAAGGGGCTACATGAGCAACCCTGCGGAGATGCCTCTTAATATCCCCACTGGTCACCCTCTTGCCCATTACTGCCCACAGATCGCAGCTCTGCAGACGGCCATCTGCGACGCTGAGCAGCGGGGCGACTGCGCCCTCAAAGATGCCCGGCAGAAGCTGGTCGACCTGCAGACTGCCCTGCAGCAAGCCAAGGACAAGATGGCCTGCTTGCTGAGAGACTACCAGGAGCTGCTGAACGTCAAGCTGGCCCTGGACATTGAGATTGCCACTTACAGGACACTGCTGGAAGGAGAAGAGAGCAGGTAGGAGCATCCCTGGCTGCACCTTGTAACGATAGCCGGTGAGACGCTGGCACAGGCTGCCCAGAGAGGTGGTAGAAGCCCCATCCCTGGAAACATTCAAGGACAGGTTGGACGGGGCTCTGAGCAACCTGATCTATCTAAAGATGCCCCTGCTCACTGCTGGGGGGGGTGGGGGTTGGACCAGATGAGCTCTGAAGGTCCCTTCCCACCCAAACCAGTCTGTGATTCTATGATAAAACCCAACAGGAAGAGGCAGTGAGAAACGCTGGGTGGAGGCAGCTCCCCACAGGCACAGAGGGGAGGATCGGCCCTTTTTCTCCCCATGGGTGCAACGGGTGCATCGCCCCCAATTCCTCCTCATCCTCCCGGGGCAGCTGGAGCGCAGCGCAGCCAGCGTGCTGCAGTTAGATGCCCCGCTTGCGGTACAAAAAGAGGATGGGATATCAAGACATCTGTGGGGTTTGGGGATCCAACCCCGCAGTGCTTTGGCAGGCAATTTGGACCAGCACCTCACACCCGGGTGCACAGATAAGCTGAAGTACCTGCAGGGTTTCTAAGGAGGCAATAGCTGTGCAGCACCTCTATTTGCTTGTGTATTTGAGGAATATTCCCCTAAATACATCTTTGAGACATTTCTTTTCTTCGCAGGATATGTACCGGCAACCCTGTGAGCGTAGGTAAGCTAACGAAGTGTTCCCTTCATTTCCTTACAAGTCTTTCAAGCTTCTAAGTTTCCTCATAAGCTGGGTTTTAGCTGCCCTGGGAGTGACTGAGCCTGTTTTTCTCCCACAGCTGTGGTCAGCGGCGGTGGCACCGTTGGGGAGTGCCGATCCCTATCTGGAATTGGAGGCAAATGCGCCGTGAAGACAGGAGGGGCCGGTGCGGGGTTAGGGGTGGTCTCCTCCTTCGGTGTCGGCGGTGCTGGCTTTAGCACCCGGAGCGTAGATTGCCTCCCCAGGGTGGGGGGCGGATTTGGGGCGAGGAGCGCCGTCAGCTGCGTGGGGCGAGAAGTCATCTCCGGCGCGGAGGGGGTGCAGTGCGCCACCGGCGTGGGCAACCTGGGGAACGTCGTGTGCGCTGGCGTGGAGCAGTGCAGCCCGGGAGCCGTCATCATTCCCGGGCCAGGGGTCTGCGGCACCGGGAGCAGGTACAGCACAGCTGTGCGCGTGGTCAGAACAACCCGGTAGAGACCGGAGGGCAACGACACATCGTATTTTAAAATAATCAGCATTTCTGCAATAAAACAGTATTCCCCTTCCTCCTGACAGCTATAGGGATCACACAACCATGCGCTGCCCGTGACCACACAACTAGGCTAGTTGCTCTGCGGAAAACTCTTTGCATGATCAAAACCCACCTTCTCTTGCGCGTCCTTCTCAGGGGAAACTTACCCCCACGGTCTCAGCCAGGCGAGATTTTCATTTCAGAGTCCATACCTGTCTTCACCCATCATCTTGGCTCTTAAATCAGTCTTCTCTGCTTGACCCCATTTCAGCAGGGATTTTCTTCCCCTAATGCAGCTATTGCAAAAGGATGAAAAATTTGGTCATCCCGAGTTCAGAAAGAGAAGCCACATTTTAATTGTCCAAGATGAAGCTGCATCTATTATTTAACTTCTTTAATTACACCAGAAAATCCAATTTTTCCTGTTTACGAGAGGGTTGGTAATGCTTATGTAAATGGGTCCAAGTTGCTACACCAGGTTTGGTAGAGCAGATTTTAATTACACACCGACGAGCACCTTATATTTCTGTAGTTAAATGCATGCGTTGTTTTTCCTGTGTGTGTACCAGATAGACGGATTTAATGCTTTTAATGTGTAAGTGAAAAGAGTTGATTATCCTTCGCTTACTCCAAACTTTCAGCTGTACCTTCAATAAACTACATGCATAATTCATGCTTTGCTTCACGGCTTTTGTTTCCCTCCCTGACATTGCAAAAGCATAGATACTTTCTCAAACACGAAGCTGCAAATGGGTGGGGTTGGTAGCTCGCAAGAAGTGGAGTTTTAACGAATTTTTTTTTTTTTTTGAGTCTTTGCTCTCCTTCCTGATGCACTTTTGCATACCTTTATTCCATCCAGAGACTAGTGTGGCCACAAGGAAGTCTGGAAACGCAGTGTAAACCAGGATATTTAACCGCTCCTGGCATGTGCGGCTCGCTTGGGATCTCTCACATTGTCTGGGATCTCTGGAGGCACAACAAAAGAGCAGCCAGGCCCTTGTTTAAAGAAATGGGTGAGAACCAGCTCAGGTAGTAACTAAAAGAAAATAATCCCACACCCCATTCCTGAAACTCTCTCACAAGAGTAGGTTAATTTTAAAAGAAAGCAAGAGAAAAGTGTACCTGCCCAAAACGCAGCATCAGGGCCTTTCTTCCTCAGGCGCCCACCTTCCCTAAAACCCATGAACTTACATGCAGAACAGAGCCTGTAGGATGTGCCCGGGCGTCCCCCTCCAGCATCCCCCGCAGAGAGGGCAAAACCTTGTCCCCCCTGCCATTTCAGGAGACTGGGATTTAGGTGGGATCAGGTCGCCCCCCCTCCCTTTGCTCTGCAAGGGTCCCCAGTTTCCAAGGGGCAGTGACCCACTGACGGGTCTATAACAGGGCTGGGAAGGGCTTGCCGTGGTGGCACTCATCACAGCTGGATGCACAGCTGGATGCCGGGAAAACCAGCTGTCCCTGCTGGCTTTTTTCCTCCCACGGCTCGCCTGGGCACAGCCGAAGGTCCCTGCGACAACTTCGCTCTGAATTGCCCTTTGGAGGGAAAATCGGTCTCTCCTCACCCAGTCTGGAAGCAGCACAGGGTGCGGGCAGGTTAATTTACTCCATGAAAGGTACAGCGAGGACCGGGTGTTGTAATTTATTCCCCAATGTCCCACTCCGCTTCCTAGACTTCACTGGTGACTCACGGCTTGTCTGCCCCAAGCTCTCCATGGCTGGAGGATGAGTTCAACCATCCCGACAGGCTCGGTCTGTCCACGCCAGCGTGACGGTGACGAACCCACCACTGGTTGAGCATCTGCCTCTACTTCTTTCCCGGCAGAGAGGCTGCGCCGAGCGTGGTGGATTCAGGCTCCCCACGTCTGCAACGCTTTTCTGATGGAAAGCCAGACCTGATCAGCAGGTAGCAGATCACTTATTAGTCTTTAAAAAATGACATGCCTTAGCAACCGTGTTTGGGCTGGGGAGGGGGAGGTGGTGAAAGCCAAATGGATCAACTCTTGCTGAGGAGGCAAAACCTACCCACCTAAAGAGGATGTTTTTTTGAAATGATTATCTTCATCTTTTCTGTTTCAATGCATACGACTCGGACTTCATCTCATTTGTATGCAAATAACAAGCAGAAACACCCAAACAAGAAGCTTCCAGTGCCCCACAGCTCATAATTTATGTTGATCACCTCCCTGCAAAACAATACTTGCGCACCAAAAACCAGCCAGCTCCCCAGGGTACCAAAGCAGCCCAGCAGCTCTTGCATTGAAGGCAGAATACCTTTAATCATCCCTGCCCTTCTCAACCCCCAAGTATTACAAAACCCATGTTTTTTGAAGCCTCCTTGAAGATGTTCACGTAGATCAGGCTATTTTTGAGAGAAAAAAAGGCCAGGAGCATGTTTTGGGGGGCAGTTTGGAGGCCGAATCCTGCTCGGTGTCACTCTGGACATGTCCCTTGGTAGATCGACCGAGTCTAGTAGAGCTGATCCAAACTGAGAGATGTAAAGAGTCACATCTTCCTCTGGGTATGGAGCCCACAAACCTCAGCTCCTCCACACAATAAACCAGCTCAGTAAAGACATGGTGCATTTTTCACCCAGACTTTACAACACTCACATACCTTGTGGACAGTGGGCTGAAGGAAGAAGAGTGTGGGAGTCTAAAATGACAATTCCCTCTTTCTTGTTGGCAGCCCCACCTTTAATCCCATTATATTCATTCAGCTCTAATATCTGATCCGAACCCGTTTGTCAGCTTCAGGACAATCTGCCTTTACTGGGGTCAAGAAAGCATGAAGGCAATCTCATTTTCCCATCGCACCCGGGCTTTGAATTTTATGCAAATAATCAAGGCAATAGATGTTCATGAATTTCAAGTGACATCCCAGGCAAGATTCAGACCAACATTTTCCAAAGAGAAGCAAGCCGACCTGTGCCAGCCGGGAATTTCACACTGTAATGGGAAATTTTGTTTGAGTGACCCAACTCTCCCAGTTGGAGCCTGCCTGGCAGCATTTCTCCAAGGATAATCAGATATTTGGTCTTCTGTATTGAGTAGAACATGAAGCACCTGTTTAATTTTTCTTCCAGAGATGCCAGTGGGATTTTAGCTCATACTTTAATGGTTTTGTAGCACTGGGGCACATGAATGTGTTTTGAAGGGCATGTAGAGTCCTGTCCTGCAAATATGTTTAAGCTCCAGTCATGCACAGAGCACGGGCAATGCCACCAGCACAGCAACACGCCGTAAACGAACTGAGCTCTTAAATACGAAGCATAAAATACTCTAAACATTGCAGACCCACAAAGTCTGAGATGCCAGAAAATGTCACCGCACCCTATTGAATTTGCTCTTTTCCCCAAGGACTCCAGGAAGTGAAATAAGGAGAATTTGTGGGAGTGTTTTTCATGCTGGTTAAACCTTTGCTTTTGGCAACGTTTTGAATGGAAAGGTTCAAAGGTCTTTAAAAGAAATCACAGCCGTAAAGAGCTAGAAACTCGAGACTGATTGCATCTTAATGTTAACATGCAAATAACACCGTTCCTCAAAGCTGGGCAAAGTGTTTTTCAGAAAATCTGCCTCTTTCATTGAAATGCTTTCTAGATCAAGATGAAAATGCATCGATCGCACCATCAGCTGCCTGGAGACATTGCGACGGCAACCTCTGGGTGGGATGGAGCCGTCCTCTGCAGCTGCCACTATCTCTAGAAAGGAAGCCTAGGAAACCTGCCATAGACTAAATACCTAAACGGCCAATATTTGAGGTGACATTTCAATACAGCGTCTC